GCAGCAGATAATAGCTCAAGTGCTTTGGGCCCTGACACTCCTGTGAGAAACCTGAGGGAGTTCCAGGCTCTTAGATTAGACTTGACCAAGCCCTGGCTGTGGACATTCAGGGAATTAAACCAGCAGGAAGATCTCTCCCTTTCTCTCTCTGTCTCTCTCTCCTCTGCCCCAATTTTCTCTCTCTCTCTCCTCTGCCCCAATTTTCTCTCTCCCTCTCTCTCCCTCTCTCTCCCTCTCTCTCCGTCTCTCTCCCTCTCTCTCCCCCCCCCCCTCACACACACACACACACTCATTCTACCTTTGAGATACGTGAAAATAAATAAAATTTTTAAAAATACTTGGCACAAACAACTCCTAGGCTTACAATCACATGTTCTGTAACCGTGGTTGGATGAAGTTTGGTTGACATCGACTGGGCTCGATGGTGGCAATTTGGTCCCACTCTATACATCTCTCATCCTTCCCCTGAACCAGTGGGTTAGCACAGGCACATGGACTTGTTTATTTGCTTGTTGTTTTGCATGACAATGTCAGAGATACAAGAAGGAAAGCAGAGACATATGAACATAAGGCCTTTTGAAGTTTTACTTCAGAGTTAACCCAGTAACACTTCCTTGTTGTTTCATTGGGCGAGGAAGGTCAGATAATTGAACTCAAAGTTCAAGATCGACAAAATTCTAAGTGAAAGACATTGATACAGAAACAGGTACAAATTTCAAGTGCAAAACTGCAATCTCTCCTATGTATAAGGACTGAGTTCTGGGATATTTTAACTTTAATTTAAATTATTTTTATTATTATTATTTTATGATACAGATCCATGGGCTCTGGGATTTCCCTTACTCCCTCCTCAAATATCCTCCTACTCCCACTGATTTTCCCCATATTATCATAATAGTACAGTTCCTCACAAACACTCATAAATCCATCATTGTGGGCATGGACAATGGCAGAGAATTCAGCATCCTATTGTTAAGATATATTCAACAGTTTTATTGGGAGTTCATGATCTGGAAGCAGAGATGCATGCTGCATTGTATCCTTACAACTGGATACGATAGGCTCCATTACACAGCTACTATACATCCCCTTAAATGAAAAGCCACAAAACAAAATCAACATCAGGGAGTAAAAAGAAATTAACAGCACCATGAATTTAAATAACATGCTACTGAATGTCTAATGTGTTGCTGAAGAAATTAAAAAGAAAATCAAGAACCTTCTTGAAGAAAATGATGCTACTGCATGACTGATGAATCAGTGAAAAATTTAATCAGAAAAAAAAAAAAAAACCTGTTTTGACAGGCCCACCACAGTAACCTAGTGGCTAAAGTCCTCACCTTGAACATGCCAGGGTCCTGTATGGTCACCAGTTCTGATCCCAATGGCCCCACTTCCCATCCAACTCCTTGCCTTTGGCCTTAGGACCCTGCACCCGTATGGGAGACCTGGAGAAGGCTCCTGACTCCTGGCCTCGGATTGGTGCAGCTCCGGCCATTGTGGCCACTTGGGGAGTGAACCATCAGATGGAAGATCTTTCTGTAGATCTGCTTTTCCACTAAAAATAAATAAATCTTTAAAAAAAAAAGCCAGGAGTCGAACTTTATGTTTAAATTTTAAAAATTATTTTTTTATTTACTTGAAAAGCAGAGAGACTGAGGTACTGGAAATAACTGGTATCTAGTTCCCTCCCTCAGTACTTGCAAGGGACAGGGTTGGACCAGGGCCAAAGCTGAAAGCTGGGAAAATAATCCCAGTGCCCTACATGGGTGGCAGAAACACAATGACTTGAGCTGTCACTACTGCCTTCCAGGGTCTGCACTGGCAGGAAGCTAGAGCCAGGAATGGAACCCAGGTATCCCAAGATGAGATGCAAACCTCTAAACCATAGCCTGAACATCTGCTCCAAGTTCTAATTTTAAATAGATCACAGCCAGCAAGAAAATGTTTTCAAGTTGCTAAAATGCAGAATATGCATTTTATCCAGTGTTGTCTTCACTTGGGGACCATTTGTTGTTTGTCACAGAGAATCACTGCAATAACATAATAAATTTTCTAGGCTATTGGATTTCTTTGGAAGTAGAAACATCAAAAAAACAATATTTGTAAAACACATAATCTGCTATTATCAGCTTACATGCCTGAGTCTTTGAAAAGCAATGAATCCGATAACATGGGACTAGTACTTGTACACTGTCTTATATTTTAAGCTGCTTTTGCCAGATCTAGAGACTTTTGAAGCTCAAGCGGCCTCAGAGGTGATAATCACCTAATTCTATAGGGGAAATCACAGAGGCACAGAGAGGTTAACCTGATTCTTTTAACACCAGAAGAACTGGCTCCTGTAAACTAGCCAAGTGGCAGCACAAAAGGGGCACCTAGCGGTTCTACTTCCAATCAATCCTGTCCTTCCTCCTTAACTCATTCATCTCACTCTTCCTACCCTCAACCCCAGGGAAACAATCAGTAAATTCCCTTTGATTCCCTGCACAAAGCACCCAGACAACTTCCCCTGGGTGTCTTCTCATCCATCCCAGTATACAAATCTCTCTGTGTTTGGCTTAACTTTCCTTCATGGCTGTGGACGATTTGGTGTCATCCCACATTTCATCTGTCGAAACCCTGATCCCTAATAAGGAAGAGCAATTTGGGGGAGACCAGGAAGATTAGATGCAGCCATGAGGATAAATCACCCCGAATAATATAAGGGTCCCCAAGAGAGTTTGTTCTTTCCCTCTCTCTCTCTCTCTCTCTCTCTCTCGCGCGCTCTCTCTTTCTCTCACTCCCCCAACCCCTTTCCACAATGGCAGGATGCCATGAGAAGTCAGCAATTCACATCGTGGAAAAGGAGCGCTCTACAAAACTGATGCTCTAATCCCAGAGTTCCTGCCTTTGGGATGTAAAAGTCAATTTCTGCATTTCTGCTTTGAATTTATTGTTATTTTTGGAGGAGCAAGTGGGCGGGGGGGGGGGGGGAGTATGTGTGTCCCATCCACTGGGACATTGTTTTAAATGCCCATAACAGCCTGGGCTTGGCTGGGTCACAGTCAGGAGCCTGGAACTCAATCTAGGTCTCCCACATAGAGGGTCAGGGACCCAAGCACATGGGCCATCACTTGCCGTTTCCCAGGGTTTGCATGGACAGATAGCTTGAATCTGCTGCCAAAGCTGAGACTTAAACCCAGGCTCTCTCCTATGGGATGCGGGCATCTTAACCACTAGGCTAAACACCTGACTTCAATTTCTGTTTACAAGGCACCTAATCTTGGTATTTTTTGGCATAATTAAAAATTTATATTACCAGCGTCTAATGCTTTGTGACCGTTAGGGCACTGGAGTATCTGTTGCTTCCTTTGTTCCCTTTGTTTATGTTCATGTATTTCCCTCAACCTAACCTGCACTTCGGACAGATTCTGGAAATCATTTTGATGCATACATGTGGTGGGAAAACACATTTTTTTTCTTCCATAAGCTGCTAACAAGTTGGTTCTTTTAACCTTAGTTTCTTCTTGAGAATTTAGCTAACTCTTGCTTTGGCCAATATCTTTGCCAGTTGGAGTGAAACATGGACTTTCAAAGTCCTTTCTGGGACTGGACATGATGTTTTTCCTTTTCCTGGCTTACGAAACCCTGAGAAGTTGAGGAAATCTTTGATTTCCACACTTAAAGATGATATCAAATGGAACATAGTTTTACCTTGCCTTGCCTCACCCTGATGTCCTCAAAGATACACAAAGTCAGAGGCTGAAGCAATAAAACCAAATCTTAATCAGTCACATAATATTGCAATAAGGAAGAAAGGTCATTACAAACCAAACTCATTTGCATTTGTGGAGGTGCTTGGGCATTTAAGAGACAGTGAAGGAACAGGGATGGGTCAGGAGGCAGAGCAAGAACAGCGGGGCCTGATTTCATGCCACCTCACCAGCCCTCCTGTACCCTTTCACAGGTATGTCCCCCATGACCTAAGTACCTCCTGCTAGGCCTATTCCCAAAACACCTTAGTTGGATTGCATTTCTACTCTCTTAGAATTATTAATTTATGTCTTTGGAGATTAGATGTCCTCAGGAATTTGGAAGCCAAACGTTATTCAGCTCACAGTAACCCTGGGTAGCAAATATTCCAACAAAAAAAGACTGAGGCCGGTCTTCAGACATTGGTGAAAACAAACAGAAAATCCTGGTGGGAGCCATAAGCTTTCCCAGGCAAACCCATAAAGGTAAGCTAAGGACATGCTAAGGATGCATGGTAACTGTTAGAAATTGGGTTCCTAGTTCTAACATAGAGAAAAGACACCCAGAACCCTGTGTGTTAGGAGGCTATGATTTTCATAGGCCAACAGAGCTGAACCAATCCAAAATCAGGAGCCAGAAATTTCTTCAGAGCATCTTGCGTGGGTGCAGGGGGCCAAGGGCATGGGCCCTTGTCTTGCTTTCCCTGACAAGAAGCAGGGATCTGGATCAGAAGTGGAGCAGCCAGGACACGAACCAGAGCCAACATGGGAAACCAGTGCTTGCAGGTGGATTAGCCAGTGCGCCACTGAGCCTGCCCACAAACCTCCATTTCCTCATAGGTCAAACAGGATAGTTGTCATCTCATGACAGTTCTTGGGAGCACGTAGAGCTGTGCTGTCCAATAGAGATATAACACAAGCCCCAGGCATCATCTTCAATTATCTCACAGTCACATTGAAGAAAAACAAGTAAAAAGAAACAAGGAAAAATTAATGTTAGTAATATAACGTATTTATCCCCTACATTCAAAACACTACCATTTTGACATGTAAGCAACATTTTAAATTTGCGAGATATTGTGTTGGTTCCAAGTATTTAAAGGAAGGTATGTAACGCTGTCGATTCGGACCAGCCACCAGCGGCGTCGTTTTCTGGTATGGCATTAAGCCGCAGGTTCACACGCCTGGCTGACGTAAGCCCGGGCGGGGCTTAGGCAGACGAGGAGCGCGTTTTGGGCCCCGCCGGCTGCCGTAGGAGAGCGCCGGCCAGAGCGGCGCCACGTCCACTGCGGCTGCGGGAGGGAAGCAGGCCTGGACCGCCCGGGTCGCCATGGCCTTTACTCTCTACTCGCTGCTGCAGGCTGCCCTGCTGTGCGTCAATGCCATTGCCGTGCTGCACGAGGAGCGCTTCCTCAAAAACAGTGAGTGGGGTCGGGACGGGCTGAGGGGGATGAGGGCGCGCCCGGAGCCGGGCCGGGACCAGCGAACGAGTGGCCCAGGGGCTGCGCCCGGGGACCGAGTGGCCTTCATCGCTCCACGGACTCAGTTCGCTTGCGGGGAGGGTCGTGAATGATGATGGAGTCCTGTGGTCTGGATGCGGGGGCGCTGCGGAGGTGAGCCCGGGACGCCCCGTCTGCAGTGAGTTTCCGTCAGTAGATCGGCGGTCTGGAAAGCTGGGGTGTGGGTCTGGAGAGTTGGTGTTGGGCAGGGGGCGTGGCTCATCGTTGAGCAGAGGGAATTACAAGCCTGGACTGATGGAGGGGAGTGGGTGGCTGGCCTTCAGGGCTCCCGGGCAGGGCAGAATGTGCCAGGAACTGTAGCCGTCCCGTGGACTGCTTCCCTACCGCCGCCGAGCAGCTTGCATGTTGCGGGAAAAGCGTGTTCATCGCAGTCTGTGGAGTGCCTGCAGGGTGCTCAGAATCTGAGAAGCCGACAGTGTAGACACGCGCTGGCCTCCCGGACCTCACAGGCCTGCCACCCTGGACCAGAGGCGGCTGCCTTTTGAGGCAGGGTGGTGCCTGGTATGAATCGTTTTGCCTCAGCGTCCCAAGTACGTGTGGGTCCCTGATACTCAAAGCCACAAGCTAGCGCTGATTCAGGTGGTACTTTAGGAGAGATTTATGGAGCACAGATTAGCTGCCAGATATCTTTAACAGGAGCTGAAGTCACTGGAGTTACCCTGTCCTTCAGATAGACTTAAATAAAAACCGAGCAGGGGAAAAGCAGGCATCAGTGTTAGGAGAGAGAAAAGCCAGAGGATAGCTTCTTGTGAGCTTGGGGAAACTTCTTGGAAAAAGTATGTCTAACCTGAAATTTGGGGAGTAAACCATTAACTAGTGCAGGGATGGGAAGGTGAGGAGAGGAAGTGTGTGGGGTTGATTTGTAAAATCCCAGGCTGCTGAAAACAGCCTTCAGCAAGACAGTGACATCAGATTTGTGTGATTTGTTTGTATTCTTTAGTGATTTACTTTTACTAGAAAGGCAGATTTACAGAGAGAAGGAGAAACAGAGAGAAAGCTCTTCCATCCACTGGTTCACTCCCCAAATGGCTGCAACCACTGGAGCTGAGCTGATGGAATGCCAGGAGCCTGGAGCTTCTTCCAGTTTAGGGGGCCAAGAGGCAAAGTCAAGGCTGTTGTGCAGATGCTTATGTAACCATTTAAAAAGGTGAATGAAACATTCTTCACTGAGAGCACTTCCACAGTGGCAGCCCCGGAGCTCTGTGGATCCACTTTCCAATGGGATAACAGTAACTGGTGACAGTTTGTTAAAATTCAAACATTTAAAGTTTCAGAGAATCTCACATAGCAAATAGAGAAACACTTAAAAATTGAAAGGCAGAGACACAGTGTTAGTCACACACACATACACCAGCGAGAGAGAGAGAGAGAGAGAGAGAGAGAGAGAGAGAGAGAGAGAGGGAGAGAGGGAGAGATCTTCTACCCACTGATTCACCCCCACAAATGCCCATCACTGGACTGGGTCAAAAATCCAGGAGCCATGAACTCAATCCAGATCTCACTCAAGCACTTGGACCACCACTTGCTGTCTCCCTGTGTGTGCTTTAGTGGGAAGCTGGAATCAGAAGTGGAGCCAAGACCCAAACACAGACACTCCAACACAGCGTGGGCATCCCCACGGCATCTTAGTGCCGAGCGCTTGCCTCCGGGAAACTTCCCCCCCATCCGACCCCCAAGAAAATGGCTAACTCGGGGACTGTTACAGTATCTGGCAGGACAACCTGCACCATCAGGAAAAGTAAAAAGGACATAATATAGAAGGTGATGAAAATTAATGAAATACAAAATAGAATAATAGAATCCACAAGAACAAAAGCTGGTCCTTGAGATCAAACCTTTAGCGAAAATGACCAGAGAAAGTGAGAAAAGGCTCAAATTACTAAAACGAAGGGAAAAAAATGAGGCTGTCACTGATGACTTTACAGAGAAGGACTGTAAAGCAGTAATATGGACAATAGTATACTAACCAAATAGATAAAAGGAATGGATACATTTCCTAGAAAACTACTAACTATTGATCCTGACTTATAAAGAAATAAGAAATCTGAAATAAGCCTGTAATCTATCAGGAGATGGAGTTAGTACTTTTAAAACTTCAAACGAAGAAAAGTGCAGGTTTCAATTTATTTTTTATTTTATGGTTAACATGGTTTATGTAGTTGAGAGTGATGTAAACCCACGTGGGTCTTTGAATTAGATGGGGGGGTGCGGTTGAGGCATGGAGAAAGGTGTATGGGACAAATGTTTCAATTTTTTCTGTTTCCACGGGGCGGGGAAAGTTAGGAGGGCATTCCTTGCTGTCAAACTATATCAGTACCCAGGGATTTGGAAGAGTCATTTGATGACGCTTTAGAGAAAATTGAAAGTGGGGACATGTGTTCCAAGAGTGTTATTTGAGTGGTTTTGATAGCTCTGTGTTGTTACCAGCTTCATTGCACCAGGGTTGAAAATGTTTCCAAGGTCTATTGGCTGACCAAGTCCACCTTAGTGAATCCACAGACCCAGACACTTGCTGCAAACTTGGCCATGAAAACTGTCCATTCTGTGTGATGTGGCAGACAACGTTCTCTGCTGGGCCATATGAACTTTTGTCATGACTCCCATGTGCAAATGGGCACGCTGGCCATTGCACAGGCATCAACAAATGAGGAGGCCCAGTCCCGACACATTCACTCCAAGGTCGGACCACACATCCTGTGATTTTCCTTGTGGCCAGTGTTTGAGTCCAGCCATCTAGTTGGGGAAGCCCCCAAGAAACCTCGCCTGGGCTCACCTCAGACTTGACTCCTGTGTGCATCAGCCTGTGCAGGGTGAGGTTCAGTCTGTCACCTGCAGTAGCCAGTGCACATACTGGTAGATGCAGCTAGCTGCTCAGTTCCACTCCCAGCCCCATCTCTCACACAGACTGATGGGAGCTGCAGCCTAGATCAGCCGAGCCCAGCCTAGCCAAACCCACCACAGACCTGATCTTCATGCACACCACTGGGTACTGTCAGGCTTCAATGTTATGTGTTACATAAGATTTAAAGAATTACAAACTCCTTCAAAAACAAAAAAAAAAAAAAATGAGGAGGCAATGCTGCCCACAAGGCCAGTGTTAACCTAGGAAAAAGCCCAGACAGAGACATCATAAGAAAAGAGATGGTAGACCAGTATTTCCTACCGAATATAAATGCAAAATTCTCCACAAAAGTGTTAGCAAACAAAATCCAGCAACATAAGCAAAGGGTAATTTGTCAAGAAATGCAGGATTGGTTTAACATTTGAAAATCAATGTAATGCATCATATTTTTTTAAAAAAATTAAAATCACAGAACTATCATAGTAGGCAGAGGAAAAGTATTTAACAAAATCCAACAGCCTTTCCTGATAAAAACCAATAATTTAGGAATAGGAAGGAGCTTCCTTAATCAGATAAAGTATTTATTTATTTGAAAGGCGGAGTTACAGAGACAGGAGAACAGTACATCTTCTGTCTACTGGCTCACTTTCCAAAAAGCCACAGAGGTTAGGGCTGGGCCAGGCTGAACCCAGGAGCCCAGAGCTTCTCCTGGGTCTCCCACTTGCAGGGACCCAAGCATTTGGGCCATCCTTTACTGCTTCCCCAAGCCATTAGCATGGAGCTGGTTTGGAAGCGGAGCAGCTAGGACTCGAACTGGTGCTGGGGTCAGTCAGAAGACAATATTGTTGAATTGACAATACTTAATAATACTGATTATCAGATTTAGAATATATGTCAAAAATCCCAGTTACTTTTTTCCAAAAAGCTTATGATTTGATTGGAAATATAAGGGGCTTAGAGTAGCTCAGATAATCTTTAAAGACAAAAACAAGTTGAAAAAAAAAACCAAGTGGAAAAAAAAATGAGTTGGAAGACTCTTGCTTTCCACAAAGCCACAGTGAATGATATATATTAGCATCAGAGTAGATGTAAAAATTAACAAAGTGGTATTGAGTGAATAATCATTACATCAATTGATTTTTTTAAAAAGTGTCAAAATAATTCAATAATGGAAGAATGGTATTTTCTTTCTTTTTTTTTTTTAAAGATTTATTTTATTTTTATTGGAAAGGCGGATATACAGAGAGGAGAGACAGAGAGGAAGATCTTCCGTCCAATGATTCACTCCCCAAGTGAGCACAAGGGCTGATGCTATGCCGATCCGAAGCCAGGAGCCTCTTCCGGGTTCCCAAAGCTTTGGGCCGTCCTCCACTGCTTTCCCAGGCCACAGGCAGGGAGCTGGAAGGGAAGCGGGGCTGTCGGGATTAGAACTGGCACCCATATGGGATCCCGGGCGTGCAAGGTGAGGACTTAACCACTGCACCATTACGCCGGGCCCGAAAAATGGTATTTTCATTAAAAAGGTGCTGAAACAACTGAATATCTATATGAAAAGAGTGAAATTAGACTCCTCATTCACACTATCCACAAACACTATCTTAAAACTAGAAACTTACTAAGCATAAGACCTAAAACCTTACAATTGTTAGAAGAAAGTTAAGATAAAGCAACATTGCAATTTTGGGTTAGCCCAGCTCTGGCCACTGAGGCCATTTGAGGAGTGAACCAACAGCTGGAAACCTCTCTCCACCTCTTCTTCTCTGCATTTTATAAATCTGCATTTCAAATAAATCTTGAAAATGAGCTGTTAAGCTCAATAAAAGAAGTGACCTGATTGGGGCTGTTGCAGTGGTGTAGTAGGCTAATCCTCTGCCTGTGGCACTGGCATCCCATATAGGTGCTGGAGTGAACTAGTGGATGGAAGACCTCTCTCTGTGTCCTCTCTGTAACTTGGCCTTCCAAATAAGATAGATAGATAGATAGATAGATAGATAGATAGATAGATAGATAGATAGATCTTTAACAGAAATAACCTGATTAGAATATTTGGGAACTAGCT